GTTTGTTTTCTTTTGCACAATCGCAATAACAGTTCTCTTTATCTGTTTCATTGTCTTTGACTTTAGGTCTCCTGTTGGATTCCAGTCTCTTTCCCCTCTCTGGCCCCACTACATAGCATGTTTGTACTGGGAGTAAAAGAGATTATTGGAGCATGATAATGTGACAAGCATGAAGTTCAGACATTTGAGATGCCTCATGTCTGCAGAATATTTAGACTACATAAGTGGCAATAGATTCAATGACTTTATGATGCATGAAGGCTGCAGAGATTTTATTTATTTATTTTGCTTTTATTTGATGAGAACTTATACTGAAATTTCTAGAGGTGTTTAGTTTATTATATGTGGTCTTGGTCCCAGTAGATGTTCCAACTTGGTTCCAAGCAGGACATCTTAACAAGAAAAAAAGAGGACAATTGCAAATACCTTGGATTACATCAAGTCTCTTCTATTCATTTCTCTTTTTTCCTTTAAAATTTGAAAGAGAAAAAACGTGCCAACCTGAAAAACATGCTAACCTTCACTGTAACACCACAATCTGGCCAGTTTGCTCCTTGATATGCAGGAAATAGTCAAATCTAACGGGACTATTTCTATAATAGATTTACTGAGGACATTTAAGCTTCCCAAAGGATATTCCTCTGAAAGACAGGAATCTTGTGTGCCTTTACAAACAACAAGCACATATATACTGCAGCAGGCAAAATGGATTCATGGATGAATGATGAACTCTCAACTTCAGTAACAGCAAAGTTTAAGTATACTGATAAACATATCAAGCATAACATATTAAAAGGGTCGCGTGTTGAGGAAAATAGAGTCCTTAATATTCAAATAAACATGTGGTTACATAAAGAAACTGTCCTGCTTAAGCATGCGTTACTTCATTATAAAGAGCACAACATTTAGGTCACCAGGAAAGGTCACCCTGAAGCAGCCATGACACCAGGCCGGATAGTCTTCCTCAGAGGGGAGTGAATGAATACTAAGCCCTCCCCCTTTTTCCTCTCTCCTTTCTGAGCTTCTGTTTCACAGTGGGGAAAGGCGGCACCGGGAAACCATTCTTTTGGTTGCAGGCTGCTAAAGATGGAACACGAGAGGAGGGGGGCTGTGTGTAGACTAGAGGAAAATCAAAGAGGGAAGTCCTAAATCACAACGGTTAAAGGGGTGGGGGGGGGGGGGGGTGGGGGTATAATAAAGACGTCACAAGCTTCAGACGTCACTGAGTCAGGAGACATGGTTCCTTTTACGCAGAGCGTGGTGACGTAATAGAGCCACGGGGGGCAGAGGAGCTGTCCCTGACTATGTATAGCAATGCTGAAGCCTCATCAGCAGTCAAAGAGGGGTGGGGGCTCGAAACGTGCTGGCTGTAGCTAAAGAGGACACATTTTAAGCCCATATAAGAATAGATTTAAAAAAATATATAAAACTAATTTTCAAAATATCAATTAATGTGACTGCAACCTGCAAACAAATGTTTTTACTTCTTGTCTTTGAATGAGTCGTCCTGACTTTTTATATTCTTTGTTACTTTTTGTTTTTAGTTGTTGTTTTTTAAATAAAAACACTGATTCGTGGATTTATAGGTACATAATGCGTGCAGGTTGCCTTCCATTAAGAAATGTCCTCTCAAGGTCAGGAATGACACTTAGCTTTAAAGCTATATCTCTAGCTTCCATGTTGCAGTGGGTGGGGTGTGCGCTGCAGAGATAAGAAGCCATCAGTCACAAGTCTGACTCTCTAACGGTGCTGCTGCATGTGTGGAGCTATGAGAAGATGCTTGGATGTTGCAGCATGAATGGGATGTGCTTCAGCCTGCAGCTGATGCTCAGTGTATTGCAGTAGTGACATCATCATGTGGCTGCCCTGCCTCTCTGCACGTCCACCCCCTGTAGCCGTGGAAACATGGAGACGTGCAAACTCGGGGAAGTCTATGGAGGAGAGTGGCCGGTTATCGTGCGTAAGCCGCTTCCTCATTCAACTCGCAACTCCCGTGCCCCCACTCCCATTTGCACTCCCCTGTTGCCCCCTCCTCCGATTTGCTCCCCCCGCTTTCCTTTGCTTTCATGTCCTGGGTTCAGCCAATGGGAGTGCTCAGTGGGGGCAGGGCAAAACAGAACCACCATTCCTGTGCCGAGCTGTTACATCTCCTCAGAGCTAACAGGGAGCTAGCAGCTCAGAGGGAGGAGGCACGGTCAAACCCAGCCTGCGTGTGTGTTTGTGTGTGTATGTGTGTGTGCCTGTCGCAGACTAGCAGGCAGGGCCGCTGCTGCACGTTTGTTTCACCAGACTTTTTCCTTTTAACCTTGCCTTGACACAGTGCTCAGGTAAGGCCTGCTTCTGCTTCTACTTCAGGATAAAGCGGGCTCAGCGTGAGGGGAAACTGAACAATCTTCTTTTCCCTTCTTCTTCACTGTCAAACCACCTCGTAGTAAGTGACAGCTCCCGAAGGACACGCAGACAGGATGATAGCGGCTCAGCTTCTGGCCTACTACTTCACCGAGTTGAAGGATGATCAACTCAAAAAGGTGAGCGACAGCAGCTTTAAACTGTTATGGTGGTCCTTTAATATTAGACTTCAGAGCTTTGTTATATCACAGCAGCCTAGCGTATACCCACAGACACCGGCGAACAGTGGCTGCATGCTGGGATGGAATCTGTGGGGTTTATCGTGTTGGGAGAAGAGGATGCACCATTTGGGAGTTACGGGAGGAGAAAGCCAGCACGATGCTTAATATTGATATGGTGCATTTTCAGTTTGTTAGCAGTATTTGACACAGATGTCCTTGAGCAGGGCTGTGGTCATTGATCGTGGTGAAATGCAGACAGACCTCCATCACTGAGCTTTTCCGGAGCACTGGTTGCTATGGCATCTGAAGCAGACAGGTGTCTATGAAGGGTTGTTGGCAAAAGTCAAGATCTCCGAGATCCACGATCTTGTCCCCGACTGTCAGCGTCTTTTTTTCCCCAGTCATTCATTTTTACTGTTTCACAGATGTTCTATCCCATTGCACTGTTGCCTTCTTAATTTCATTCCTCTTTTAGTCCATCGTGAAAACACATTTCAATTTTTTAGCCATCAGTGAAATCTGAGCCTGATTACAGCTTCTGGCTGCCCATATAAACTGACTCTGTGTTCAGAGCGAATTAGTGACTGAACAAACTGGTAAGATAACCCCGGGGAATAGGGGATACGGGTGAGGGCAGTCCGTGTAAGTGGGGGTGGGGTCAAATACTCACGACGTCATGTGTGATATCACAGTGCAGTAGCAACACGTGCCTCTGCTGAAGTAGGTTACTGGAACTACTGGGGTAAAAGCAATCCTTGAAAGGATGAAAGCTCTTAAACCATGCACATCCTGCAGGGGACACCGACACTGTAACCATATCAAGATAAGGAGTCAAATTTAGTGGCAGCTAGATTTACTATCTGTTATCTAAGTGTTGTAGTAGCTGGGTAGCCTTAGTGTGTAGACCTTTGGTGTTACCAGTATTCTTTGATTAATCATTTTTACAGGGTACAGGGAAGAGGTAGAGATTTGATAGGGTGTTCTTGTCTAATATTTTCATGTGTGTGCGGGTGCACGGGTATGTTGGTATGGGTATATATATATTTGTAGGTTGTGTATCCTTTGAGGTGTTAATGGGGTTATTGAAAATGTGTATATGTGTGTATGTGTATATACGTATGTACGGATAGATAGAAACATATATGTATATATATATATAAAAAAAAAGAAAAAAAAGAATAATAATTTAAAAAAAAAATACACATGACATATAATGTAATTGCAAGGAGGTATTTCTGTAGTCTATAGATTACTAGATAGTGGAAAAGGGGTGGGATTAAATAAGCACATGCTTCTTCCTGCTCCTTTTTGAACATGAAAGTTATTTGTAGTTGTGGTTGCTCGTTTTCTTTTTGTTTTGCTTTGTTTATTTGTCTCTTTTAATTCTATGTTGTTGTACTTTTTTAACATGTTCAAAATAAAGATTCAATCAATCAATCAAAGGATCAGGCAAACAAACAAAATTTAATTTAAATCCGTAAGAATTCTGAAAAATCTTGATACAAAAACATGACAAAAGAAGGCATCACACAGATGCACTTAAATAACATATGAAAGAGACTGATAATAGATGCCATATTATAAGTGTCAGGAAAACTAAGAGTGAATAACTATACGAATTAACTGCATTTACATATAACGTTAAGAAGATTGGCCATGAAAAAAATCAGTATGTTACTTTATAAAGTATATATAGACAAACAACGAGTAGCTCAATGGGTAACAAATGTGTGGACTGTCTCGTGGCACAGAGCAGGTTTCAGGCGTGCGGGGTGCCCCATGGCATGCACTGTGATTATATAACAATAACAAAAACTGTCCTCTGTAAATCCTCCCAACAAGCATTTCATTCATTAGATGTGTTAACTGTGATATAACCATATAATGTAGCTATTATTAAAAAATGTTTTGTTGATAATTTAATTGTATCAAAATTTTATGTCACTGACTAGTACATGGATTCAAGTGTCCAAATTCAGGCTCTTTGCCACAATTAGAGGTACTCCTTGTTTGTTGATTTTTGCCCATAGAACTCCTGCCATGCCGTTAACTAATTCAAATGACACAAATCCATTATAAAATCCATCCCAGGAAACCCCCATTCTTCTGTTTAAACCACGACAATACTAGTAGGCAGTGTTTACATGTGTTTAATTCATGTTAATTGATATGTGCTCAGCTTGCAAAATGTTAGTGTCTCACAGATGTTTAGCAAGCATAAAACTTCCCTAACAACTCTTCTGTGCACCTATTCTTCAGATCGATAAGTACCTGTACTCCATGCGGTTCTCCGATGAGACGCTTAAGGACATCATGAACAGGTTCCGCAGGGAAATGGAGAATGGGCTCGAACGTGACACCAACCCCACCGCCACCGTGAAGATGCTGCCCACGTTCGTCAGGTCCATTCCTGATGGATCAGGTAGAGTCTGTATTAAGAGTCTCACAGAAATCACAGATTATTGAGAAAAGTGCTCTGATCAGCTCAAAAATATTATTATTAATTATTAATTGTGTAAGTGCCCAACAGTGCCCCCAAATGCCCAAAGTCATTGGCAGTTCGTTTAATGAGTCAAACACATGGGTTAAAAAGCTTAAAAATGCTTAAAAATTTGTAATAATATTTTTAACAATATAAAAAATATCAGAAAGCTCAAAAATAATTCTGCATTTTAGAAATCAAAATGGTTCAAAAATAAAGGAGTATTTCCACTATTATGCAGAAGAAGCAGCATCATTAATACCTCCTATTCACACACTGATGACAAAATTTCATCCACACTTGTTGAAGGATGTGTTTGTTTCTGTCTGACTGTGAAGAATGTGCTGATGTTAAAATTGTCACATAAGCCTCTTTGTGTTTGTGCTCTGGGTTCAAGCTAAATAGATTACTATTGTTTTAGGCCTGAGGCCAAACAGTCCAAACAGCCTCATCACTCAGTGTAACGCACAAGCAGAAGAAAACCTCATAATGTTACATTTAACTTAACTGAAACAGAATCCTCGTCTAATCCAATCATATCTTTGTGTCAAATATTTATCTTTACTAGTCTGATGACTGGCCTGTAACCAGCAAAAGGCCTTTAGTAAGACCGTGCAACTAGTTTAAGATGTTACTTTTCTTATATTTTGGGGCTATACTGATAAAATAATAGAGGAACAGAATGAATATTCAGGATAGTTTGACAGTCAGATTATTACAGATTATAAAAGATCATTTACTGGGAAACAAACCTCAAAAAGTAGAATTGATGACTAAATATTTGAATGTCTTTCTGCTGTTTTTGGTTTTATTCTTGTATTCAAGCCGAAAAATCAGAAACAAAAATGCAGAAATATACTGCAGGTATATCTTAGTTTTCCCGCAGACTGATGTCAGAACAAGGCAGCCGGACATTCCTGCCTTCTCGCACTATATATAGCCTAGGGTTTCAACATGACAGGGATGAAGCAAAGTGCGAAGTTGAAGCTATGGTGATGGCAAAAAAACTAAAATAAACATTTTAAATCCATATAATGACAGTAGTGACAAACATGTTGGCAAGGTTGGTTGTCGTGATAAGAGGGATAAGTGAAAATCAATCCCATTCCTCTGTCTTGACTTTTTCCTCTGGAAAGGAAATTCACAAATGAACAGCTCAGACTGTAATCTTTACTGTGTAATACGATTAGACTTGGTGTAAAAGCTAATGAGAGATACAAATGTAGACAGACCAGCTTAGGATCTTCATCCTAAATCTCACGGATTCTGTTTTCACTCTGAGATATTCGTTGAAATACCTCAACAGAATTTATTGACTCATGACTCAAATTTAGCATGACTGCAGTGGTAATGACAGAGCGGACATATCTTATTACTAAAACACATTTATGGGAATAATTACAATGTATTTTAGAATCAAATGGCAGATAGAATCAAATAGAATCAAATCTCTCAAAAATAATAATCATTTAAAAACTGTAGACCATATTATGTTTCTTTTTTTTTGCCAGTACTACAGACACCAGCCATGCCACAGATAAAGCCTTCTTTTATCAGTGATTAGATTTGACGAGCTTAGTTAAGAATTTTTGCATTAATTAAACGAAACAGCATCAGCGCATTTGCATGCTAGCACTGAGAATATACAACGACATGGGTTATAAAACAGCAAATGCTCTGCGGCAAATCACTAACACTTGTATGTCCAGCCCAGACACACATCTCATTCCAGTCAGGTCAAAAGGATTAATAGCTCAAGGCAGTCATGGCACGACTGTATCAATCAACAGTGTTTTGTTGGAGGGCAGCTGAACTTCTTAACTTAAAGGTTACAACTCTGATTCCAGCAATAGTAAATTTACATCCACATGTTCTGTTCTTATCCAGTGTCAGATTTCAAGAAGAATAAATGAATGTAATTACCTGTAATATTGCACATATAGGTCTGTGTGTATTAATTTCAGAACAAACTTCACATTTTTTTATCAGAGAGGCTATTTGTTGACATTATCTTTCTTTCTTTCCTTTCTTTTTTTATTTTATTCGTGGGTTTCTTTATATATTTGATTCTAAGGACAGGCAGCATTTCAACCATGAGTAGGGAGTAAGGAAAATAAACCTGAGGATGTGTTCCTCGTGTCTTTGTTGAGAAATGTTGATATAGATCTTTGTACTTTTGGCCAAGAGGGGAGTATTATTCCAAACATTGTCTTTTGTAGATGCTACTACTAACAGCATGTGCTTTGTGGTGGATGCCTGTAAAGCTCCTTTTCTCTTTTGGTGACATGCCAAGCTTGGGAATACTGATGGCCTTAGAGAGAATTAGCAGTGACAGCTTTAATAAAGTATCAAACATTCATTAATTTCTAATCTGCCCTAAATTAAAATTAGGATATTATATTACATTTCTTAAAAAAGAAATACATTTTTACTCCCTTTGCTTGTAAAAACTGTCAAAAAACAAAATGCAAAACATAAATCTACCCAAAACTCACATTTGACCCTGGTAGCCCTACGTACAGTCTTTGGGCCATCTATGAGTTGACGTCTGGTATTCAGGTATGATTCAAAATAGACATAATATGGGGAAAATCTTCTGTTTGTTGTTGGGTTTTGGTGTGTGTGTGTGTGGTTGGAATACACCAGAGGGAGGACTAGTTGCAACTGTCTGTCATGAATTGCAATTGAAAAAAAATCACAAAACTCAAAAAGACTCTAATGTGTGACCACACTCTCAACCTGACAGAAAAGGGGGACTTCATAGCTCTGGACCTTGGAGGGTCGAACTTTCGGATCCTGCGTGTCAAAGTGACACAAGACAAGAAGCAACCAGTTCAGATGGAGAGCCAGATCTACGAGACCCCTGATGACATTACCCATGGGAGTGGGACACAGGTAACCAAAAATATATTTTTACCATTTTTAAATGCACTAAACATTCTTGTTGTATTCTTCTTATTGAGCCTCTGTGAAAACATAGCTAAGAAGCAATCAGACATGTTGTTCTCGTGCTGTAATCCTTGTCACACCGATGTATCGGAATCACACTTAATGAAGAATATTCAATATTACTGTCTACACACCACACAAAGGCCGACTCAACATTCAGTTTGTGTAACATGATCTTTGTAAGACTTGGGAATAATAAGAGCAACGTCAGAACCTACGCTGGCCGACACAGGACTTGTAGACAGCTGGCGGCCGTGTTGTAACATGATAACCAAAACATGAAAGACCGTCTGAGGCGGTGTGATTGGTTTAGGCCATGACTTACACAGACAGAACAAGACAGATGCTGTTTAGTGAAATGCTGAACGGACAGCTGGTCAGAAGAAATGTAATGTGATATAACACAGGTTTGTTAACAAAGACATGCATTTAGATTGTGACTTATTGTATAATATACAACTCTGTGAACAGTCTTCATTGGTGTGATTTAAAAAATAATAATTTCATGCAAGTATACAATGAATAAAATGACTAACAAGAAAAAATAAAATAAAATAATAGTTTAAAAACATGCTAAGTCACAAGTCATGTCAATATGGGTAGATATCAGCTCTTTCCAGGATCTCATGATGATTTCTGATGATTTACAGAAAGGCTTTTAACTGTCTGCAGAATCTTTTATGTTCTTTACATATTTGTTGAAGCATTTTCTAAGTAAAGTTTCAGGGATATGTATGTAAACTGGAAATTGTACTTTAAGGATGCATTAACTTAAAATGATAAAGAAAATGTTACATTTGCGCCAACAGTAGTTACATCACCTTGAAATTCTTAAAAATGTCTTTTTTGTGTGTCTGCAGCTCTTTGACCATGTTGCAGATTGCCTCGGTGACTTCATGGAGAAACAAAAAATCAAGGATAAAAAACTTCCCGTGGGATTCACGTTCTCTTTCCCGTGTGCCCAAACCAAACTAGATGAGGTAAACACGTCCAGTTTAAAGGATAACTGTACCATTAAACACGTCATCACTACAACCTCAACATTGCTTGTTTCTTTTGTTAATAGTTTTAGATTAATAGCTCAATGAAGCCCATAGAATGTAACAGTGTAAATTCATCAATGCATTATATTTTATTGTATTATTGTGTTAATATATTATAGATAACGTGTTTGGCGATGCCGTGACTAAAATAGCGATGGACATATATTTGAGATTGTCTTCGCCTGTCTTACAGTAAATTAAAGTTAGTCTTGTTTTTCAGGCTGTCTTATTAACATGGACAAAGAAGTTTAAAGCCAGTGGTGTGGAAGGCATGGACGTTGTGAAGCTTCTAAACAAAGCTATCAAGAAACGAGGGGTAGGTTTTTGTCTGTGGATTTCATTTGCAAACATGGATAAGACATCTGCCAGATGACTCTTTTGAGTTAAACATAACCTTGTTTTCCCAGGACTATCAAGCAGACATCATGGCAGTGGTGAATGACACCACTGGCACTATGATGACTTGTGGATTTGACGATCAGCGCTGTGAAGTGGGAATCATTATAGGTAAAAACAAATGGATTTTTACCACTGCATTAGGCAAATTCAAATGCCTGAGCCAATGACACTTTTAAAGTAGGGGGAAAAACACATCTTGCATTTCACATGATTTGATATGCCCCTTTTAAACAAATAGATCCTTTCCCCAGGCTTTGGAAAAGGTATTTAGCACCTTAAAGCCAACAAGTTTTAGTAACCAAGTGTACTTTATCAGTACTTCAAAACATCCCAGGATGTTGAGAATACATTTTTATATTAAAGTTCTAACCCAGAAGGGCAAAAGTCTCTCGTCCAAGCTTGGGCAAAAATCCCACGAGGTCCAGAGCACTGTACAGAAGCATGTACACAGTTCTACATGTGGGGGCGCCAAATATTAGAGCTAAATAGCACACTGCATTCTGCTTTGAAGTGAAATAAGAGTTATGTCAGTTGTGCATCCTTTCAGGAACGGGAACAAATGCCTGCTACATGGAGGAACTGCGTCACATTGACCTGGTGGAAGGAGATGAAGGCCGGATGTGCATCAACACTGAATGGGGTGCTTTCGGGGATAATGGGTCCCTAGAGGACATCCGCACAGAGTTTGACCGTGAGATTGACAGAGGATCGATCAACCCAGGAAAACAATTGTAAGATTCCTTTCTTTTTTCTTTTTCTTTTAAACTAAAGGAAGGTTTTGAAAGTTTAAATATCTTTCAGTAAGTTTACTTACTGTAGACTACGATAAGTACAATGTAAGTTAGTTTTTTAAGTTGTGCAGCCAAACAGTAAACGAACTGCATATAATACATAAAAGTATACCAGTATGCTT